TACACTTATTTTTGTTCCTAATTTTAAAATGCTTAATTCTAGATAGAAATTATACTAAACTCAATATGAGTAATTTCCGTAGAACAAAATAATTTACGTCGGGTGGCTGTACATTCTGGACAAGTTAATGGTAGCAATTATTATTTATTCATTCGTCCCGACGAAGATGATGATCTCGATGATGTTGACGTAGCCAAATGGCAATCGAACAAAGAGGTAAATTTTGACAAAATAGTGGAAGAAAGAAAAAATTCCCACTGACCGTGCAGTTGCATTGTATTTGTGCTGGGAGAATCCAAGTGAAATTTTTGGATTTTTTGCTTTTACATCAAATTACATATTTTTTTAGTTGTATTGATTCTACTTACTTAGAAGTAATTGTATTGTAACGCTCTTTCATCAGTAATTTGCAGCAGTGAACTTGCTAGCAAGTTTTCTGTATATGGTCTGCAGGTTACCTGCTTATTATGTATGTATGAATACTGATAAAGCTATTTATTAGGTGCGGAAGATGACACAATGCAAAGAACTTTATTCTCCAAAATAAAGAAACGATACTAATATCCATATGAAGCAAAAAATGAATAACTTATAAGCAAACGATAACAATGATAATAACAGGAAACTGTTAGCAATAAAATAATGAGCAAGTGACAAGAATTTATCTAACAGAAAATACAAATAATCAACCATATCAGAAATAACAGCGCCTTTTCCAACTTAAAATGCACCCTTCAGCTCCTTTTATGTTTCTTCTTGTATACTTTTAACGAGTCACAAATCATGTGACTTTCATTGTATACAGTACAAGTGAAGGTTGGCCTATTTCTGTCATGTGCTGCTATGTTTCTTTCAAATGTTTCTGTTTGTGTGTTTGTAAATTAATTTTGCGTGTGAAACTTCTCTTGCATATTTTACAAATGTATGGCCTTTCGCCAGTATGAGTCCTCACATGCCTTTTCAATGAAGATGATTGAATGAAACTTCTGCCGCATATTTCACAAATATATGTTTTGTCGCCAGTATGAGTCCTCATGTGGATTTTCATACTGTCTAATCGAGGAAAACTATTGCCGCATATTTCACAAATGTATGGTTTTTTACCAGTGTGAGTCCTCCTATGCTTTCCCAAATTGGATGATTGAATGAAACTTTTGCCGCATATTTCACAAATGTATGGTTTTTCGCCAGTATGAGTCATCCTATGCTTTCCCAAATCGGATGATTGAATGAAACTTTTGCCGCATATTTCACAAATGTGTGATTTTTCGCCAGTATGAGTCTTCATATGCCTTTTCAATGCGGACAAGTGAACGAAACTTTTGCCGCATATTTCACAAATGTGTGGTCTTTCGCCAGTATGAGTCCTCATA